CTTTATCCTCTTACAAAGTCTACGAGATCGTCGTGTCACTGCTGTACAAATCCGAAATCAGTATTTCCGGAATACTAACGTGAACGAACAATTAGATAAAAACTTGAAGAAGCAAATTTAAGTAGTCGCAGACCTACAACAGGCCTACAACTTCTCAGGCGCCATCGAGTTGCGTGACTTCAGTTTGCTCTGCTAATTGTGGTTTTGCTTGGCCCGTCGTTCGCCATACGTAATTGGCTGAAGAGTGTGCGAGGGAGTCGTCCAAACCTCCTCAAGCGGCTTCTTCAGTGTTATTTGCGTTTGGGTGAACGTCGCGTTTCATCCTTTACCACAAAAATCGTCTTCGTACAAACCTCCTCGCGGTAGAGCTGGGAATCCATACTAGTTTAATCGGAAATACAAGCACTTTTGACGAGTAGTGATTGCTAATTGTACAGGGGTGTGTCCGACTGGTAGTGTGCGCCATATTCGAGCTTTGGCCGATTCTTTTAGGATCCTTGAGTCCGCGCGCCAGTGTAGTTACTAACCGGTCGGATTTTTCGAACTCCCTTAAGGCTACACACCCTTCCAGTCTCCTGGAAGCCATAGCTTTTAGAGTGGCGTAGGTCCCAAATATCTAACCATACTAATTTGACTGGAAATAATTGGAGGCACGATTATTTACCGATGAGTCCAAGTTTACCTTGCGGTCTCCAGATGGCCGTGAGAGAGTATGGCGAAGACCACATGAGCGTTTTGCAGAATGTACCTTCAATCCTAGGGTAGGTTATCAAGGGGTCTCAATTATTGTGTGGGCTGGAATTTCTCTAGAGGCACATACAGAATTGTACATCATTTGTAGAGGCTTCATAACAGCTGCCAGGTACATTGATAAATTTCTCCAAGATTTTGTTGTCCTTATGCTGGTTTTGTTGGAAATAACTTTGTTCTGAAGCATGATAATGCCAAGCCTCACAGTACAAGAATCACTCAACAGTTTTTAAATGAATTAAATATTCCTGTAATGGATTGGCCAGCATTGAATCTAGACGCAAACCCAATCGAACATGTTTGGGACATGCTTGGGCGAAGCATACGAAGTCGTGTTCCTTGCCCTTTAACTTTAAATCAGTTACATGAAGTCCTTTTAAAGGAATCGGAACTTATTCCTTAACAGAACATTTCTCATTTGATTGTAGGCATGCCAAGGAGAATTCAGGCAATAATTTGAGCATGTGGAGAAAACATTCATTATTAAAACATATATCAGTAGGGACACAAGATGTCAGTTTTCATTAATTGAGTTTGTTTCATTTGTGTTTACGTTATTATAATAATAAAAGTTTAAAGAAAGTTAAAATTTTAAGTTTTGATTTTAAAAATGCAAGTGTTCCGTTTTTCGTGCCGGTGAGTATCCCGGATACCCTTCAAAAAACACACTGTAAAGTGTTTTTGTAAAACACATCTTGTAAAGTGGTTGAGATATAGGAAAAAAGAATTTGGGGTGGTACTTACAGTCGATAATAAACTGAAAAACCTCATAACAGATTTTTAAGCAGTTACTGAATAAATTTGTGGAATACGAATAAAGACTCACTTCCTCAACTTATTTATGATAAACGTTCACTGCCCAAAACATAAAGAAGATAAGGATGCTAAAGTAGCTACTAATTACTAGAGCAAACATACGTCTTTTTCTATTGACTTTGCAATTAGTAAATACATGATCATAAGTTCTACCATATTTCGCAACAAAAACATCCACAAAGGCACCTAGATGTCCCCTAGGTCTATTTAATAATCCAAGTGACCTATTCAGTACACAACATCTGCAGGGAATATCCCAAATAGACCAAGTATTGATAGAAAACCGATGAAGAACAATTTATCATCATCACAGTCATTAACATCTTAGTAGATGTGTTGTGGTTCATAATTGGGCTTCAGCAGCTCGGACAGTTTGATTGATAATATTTATCCACTGGTCGCGGTCATCAGTTATATGTATTGCCTCAGTATACTGTTTATTGAGAAGCTTTTTAGTAATGTCCGCCCATCGCTGTGGATCTTCCGCGTTGGCGTTGAGTCTGAGGCCTTCCTTGGACTACCAACCGCTCCATTTTGTGATCACTTCGATCGATATGGCCAAAGAACTTTAAAATTCTAGAGTAAACGGTACTGGAGAGACGCTGATCCGGTTTAATTTCATCCAGAACCGAGATATTTGTACGGCGAGCCGTCCATGGAATTCGAAGCAGGCGTCTCCATGTCCACATTTCAAAGGCGTCTATACGTCGTCGATCTGATTCTTTGACTGTCCATGTCTCGCATGCATAGTAAAATATGGAAAAGACCAGAGTGTGAAACGAGTCTCTTTTTGTTTGTCATAGTAATGTGACGATCACGCCAGACCCCGTTTAGTTCACTCATTGCTGCTCTTGCTAGTTGAATGCGTCTTTTAATTTCGGATTCACAACTGCCTGTGTTGTTAACTAGAGCTCCAAGATATATCATAGATGAGACTACCTCGCATCCCGCAATAGTTTGGGTTTCAGGAAACTGTTGTTGGCGATCAATAACCATGATTTTGGTTTTGTTGTAGTTAACCATGAGTCCAAATTTAGCACTTTCTACCTCGAGTTTTTTTAATAATTTAGTAGTAGAAGAACAATTAGTCTGGATATAAAAAGTCGACAATGTGCATGCTGCAGCTCAGGCAAGCTACTATTTCAGGTACACTTCAGATGTAGGATCAGCCACACGGCAAATAAGAAGTAACCAAGAAAGAAAATTCTAGATCTGCGAAAACTGAAGAAAAAACAGAAAATCAAAAGATATTTGACGAGTAAATAAAGAGGTTGGTAAAGAAGCTGACTGAATATAATGAAAATGAAAGAGAGATGATTAGACGACCAGTGGAACCTAGTAAGTAGAACCAAATGAACTGCAGCAAAATTGATGCTAAGAATAAAAGAAATGAAAGATGACCAATGGTTTGATGATGAGTGTAACGGGGCAATTAAAGAACGAAATGAAGAACATAGAACATATGTGATGGGACGAACTACAGAAATAAAAACGGTATTGAAAAAGAAAAAACAAATAGGTGATAAAGTGTGTACACAAGACAAGAAAAATCACATAATGGACATGGAAATAAAACTTTACAGAAGACAAAACACAAAATACTTAAATATTTATCAAATAATAAAACAAGGTTATAAACCAAAAACTATTCTGTACAGGAATAGAAACGAAATAACCGAAGCATTAAAGAAATTAACGAAGGAAAACATGTTTTGAAAAACTGCTGACCGAAACCTTTCACTGTAATGATGTAGAATACTCAGAATATGAGCTATTGGAAGAGGTAGAAAATGAAGATAATAAGATAACAAAATCGTTAACGATAGAAGATGTTGAAAGGGCAATTAATCTGCAGAAAAATAACAAGGCCCCTAGATATGATGGAATACTCGCAGAATTGATTAGGTTGAGAAAAAGAGAAATAACGAAAATGATATATGAGGTCATATACAGAATACAGAAATAAGATGGCTATAGATAGACTACAAACTCTCGCAGAGAAGATCATCGGAGAATATCAAGCAGGATTTAGGCAAGAAAGATCAACCAACTATTCACGGTTAAGCAGGTCTAAAGCAAACCCTGGGAACGTGACATAGATGTCTATCATATTTTCGTCATACTTAAACAGACATATGACTTAATAAACAGGGCACACTTATACATAATATTAACTTAATTTAAAATACCGTCAAAAATAGTTAGGCTCATCCGAATGACGATAACGAACACAGTGGCTCAAATACAGATACAATATGAGATGATAAACTCATTTCAAATAATACAAGGTGATATGTTGGCACCAATATTTTTAATTTAGCACTGGAATACGTGGTTAGAAAAACATCAGGGTAAAAACAACACACTTATCAATAAATAAGTTAAGCTAGCAGTATATGTAGGTGACAAATATCAGAAACAGAACCAAAGCAACAGGTGATAATACGTATATGGAACTTAAATCACATGCTAAACAAGTAGTTCTGTCAGTGTACACAAAAAAGACTAAAAGCATTAAACAAAACCTATCGTAGAGAGAAACATGACCCTACCTGAGAGTTGATAACATAGAGTCTTTAATGGGCAGGCCATATATTTAGGATGGAAGAAAACAGGCTCCCAAAAAAACTGTTGAATGCAAGAATACAGAGGAGGTGACCTATTTTTGAAGGCCGAGAATGCGATGGAAGGATAATGCGGATGAGGAGGCAAGATGTCTGTTTGGCAGTCAATGGCGGAGCAGAATTGCTACCGACCGTAATGAATGGAGAGGTTAGCTGAGGGAGATCAGGGCTTGAATTGGGTTGTAGATCCATAGTCTGAAATGAATCAAAATGTGTAGTAATTTCCAACCACTTTTCACAGCCCAGTCAATGTTTAAGTTTGACCAACATACCAAAAAATGAATTAACATATTTCGTAAATAGTTGGGACTGGGTTGAATGAACAGAATATATCTACCTACTAAAAAGCTGATAAATGGCTTTACAACAAAACAGTACTTATATCATACCTAGGCAAAAATTTAAAATTGTAAATTAGTTAAAATCTCTAATGACAATGCAATATAAAAAAGTTGTTAGAGAGGAAATGCATAATATATCGACAAAAAAATGTAATCTCATTCATTTTTCTTCATACAAAACAAAAGACACCTGTTGAGCAGACAATAAATGGATTTTTACATAAGTATTAATTATTAATGCATGAGCAAGGTAAAATATACATTTCTTTTAAGAAATAGAAATATTTAGATTAACCAATTGATCGTGAAATAACATTTTATCTTAAAAGAACGGAAATCAATATCGAATAACGAATTATCAACGTTACTTTAAATGTCACGAGTATTTACCTTATTTAGTACAATAACCTTAAACTACATGTAATTAAAAAAGCGTGATAATCAATATTAAACTTTTACAACTACTTACATCTTGTCTTCTTCAAAAAAATAGTCAAATTCTAGATCCAACATACTCTATCTAGCAATAAAAAGCTACTTAACCTGGCGGAAATAAACTATTTTAATAAATAATTAACGGAACTAGGTACAAAGATAAACAAACAAACCAATAAATTTGATAACTTTTATCACTTGTGGTACATGACAGAAACGTCATGCGTCGAGACGCAGGCGTCAGTTATCGATTTTATTTTGAATTTAGTTTTGTCGTGACATCTATTGTGGAGAGTATCAAGTGACAAGCTGAAAGGTTAGAAGTCTGTAATATGAGAAACGTGCAGTATTGCCATATTAAAATTAAATATATAAGATGTTGGTATAACACGTTGTAGATTAGGTAACGATTAATATAGGTAAACATTTTAATTAATTTTATAATATAACCTAACATAACTTAGGCTACAAGCATGTTTGGTTAACTGTGATTATTAAATATATTTCTTTTAGACAGTAGATGGCGCTAAAAGTATTGTTTGTAATTTGTTTTAAACTATTTAAACCCATATTATTAAGATATGGAGAGTTAATATGTTTGTTTATATATTATTGGTATCTAAAGGAGGTAAATAAAACATAAAATTAATAAACAAAAAAGTGGTTGGAACTATTTTTCCGTTGTTCATTAAAACATATTTGTAGGTGAGAAATTCATTACTCTTGTACAGTTTTTGAAACAATTTATTTAATAAAGAGATACAAAAATGCATATATAAGTGACAAAACTAATTTCTCAATTACATCAGTGGTGAAATGATTTTCATTTTTACAATTTTTTCAGGAAGTAGAAAAAACGTTTCATTTAAGTCGTTTTACTAGGAATGAACCTAATAATTTTTTGCGGTAATTTAGAAATAAATTAGGATTTAGTTTTACAAAGAGTTTTAAGAAAAATATTACAGTTTTTAACAAAAAAATAAGTTTTACTGTAATCTATGGCTTACAACATATTACTTGTACATGTCTCGAGATTCCATGTGGGATACAACATGTTTTTAAATAAAGTACCTACAGCTTTCGGTTATTTGAAAATTTTGTATTTTTAATAGTAAAAAATCAAACATTTTTATTTATTATTAAAATTCAGCAAAATATAAGAATCATAAGTTATTATAAAATAATTAATTTTCTGAATCTGTTGACTCATCCAGAGTCAGGCAAATATGCAAGAGTGCATATGCATATGCATTTGCATATTTTTGTGTATTTTTTTGAATTTTGCATATATTGGTAAATTTAAAAATAAAGTGCATATAATAGGTTTTCAAAATGAATTTATTTGTTGATTCATGGTTAAAATACCTTCATAAGCACCTGGTATTTCCAAAATATAAAATGTTATTCTTATCTTAATCCCTTAACACTTTCTAAATGGATACCTTAAAATAGAAGGTAAAAATTACCAAGAATTAGTTTATTGGGGTTTATTATTGGCCTTTTATTTACTTAGGTAAGAAAAATTTCAACCAAGTTTATTTATTGAACTTGAGTTGTTAAATACAAGTTACTGTTGTACCTACTTTTGGAGTGTACTGTGTGATAAAAAGTTTTATCCAGTGTAGTTACAATGTCGAAAGAAGTGAATGTATCTGCGTGGATCAAGACATATCCAGAATTAGTCATTGATATGGGAAAAGTATTTTGCTCAGCATGCAGTAAAATTGTAAGTAAATACAATTACAAAACTAACAAGTAAACCTGAATATTTTAAATTGCATTAAAATAATTAGTCTAGTTGCAACATAAGGGGTCCCGTGGGAAATTCTAGCTCGCTGTGATTTAATGGTGGTATTCTCGGGTTTTTGGGTCGCCGAATCTAATGGAAGTGGACTGGAAGCCCAAATATTACCCGTTTAATTGTTATTAACAAATTATGGTAAAATTAAGTATTTTTCAAGTATTATTTAGAAGTTCACAAGGAAAAATTTCCTGTAGCTGCCTGTATACCATTAATTACAAAAATTTAAGGAAAATCTTCTGTGTAAAAGGTATATTTATTTTAAACCCCCAATAAAGGGCTATTATTAGAAGCCCAGTAAAGAAGTTGATAGTGTTAAGGTCCAGGTCTTCTCTTGTGGTTTTGGTCACTGAAGCTAACTAGTCACGGTTACTCAAAATATGTTCTTATTTTGTTAATAACAAAATAATTATTTATTCGCCGAAAAGCTCGAAATAATGCGCTATCTACCGCAAGTTTGTAATTTTTTTGATAGTATTTTTATACTAAATCGATTATCACTAGTCGTGATGAATTAAATTGCGCCCCTACTTTGTTATTAATAAATTATTGCAAAAATAGCACTTTTTATAGTACGTTAACTCACGGTTTTTGCTCTAAATTTTAAAAAGCCACTTGAGTTGACATTAAATTTGGCATACACGTAATCTAACATGTCAAACAAAAAACTGATATTGTGCCGATGTGTGTTTTTACCCTGGGGGTGAGTTTCACCTCTTTTTTCGGGGGTGAAAACAATACCTTTAAAATAAGTCCAGAAGTGGATAAACTGATTAAGTGATTAATTATTCTAAGCAACTTTTGTTCTACAAAGTCAATATTTTTCGAGTTATTTGCGAGTGAATATGCTCATTTTTCAAAAAAAAAAACACGTTTTAGACGGTTTCTCGTAAATAACTCAAAAAGTAATTTTTCCAAAAATTTTGTTCTTAAAAAAGCTATGAAAAAGACTACAAACTTTATGTAGAGAGCGCATTATTTCGAGCATTTCGGCGAATAAACAATTATTTTGTTATTAACAAAATAAGAATATATTTTGAGTAATCGCAACTAGTCGCATTCGATTCAGCGAGCAGAAATACACCAGAGAAGATAACACTATCATTTTTTTGCAGGGCTTCTAATAATACCTGAAAAATACCTAATTTTACCATAATTTGTTACCATACAGCATACAAACAAAAAACTGGAATACCTAGGCCACATAACGAGAGGAGAAAAGTACTCCCTGCTAAGACTCACAATCTAAGAAAAAATCTCGGGGAAAGAGAAATGTGTTCAATACAGTTGTTCAGAGCTGCAGCCAACAAAGTTAAAATTGCTGTGATGGTAGTCAACTTCCGATAGGAGACGTTACTGCAAGGAGAAGAAGGGTAATATTTGGGCTTCCAGAACACTTCCATTAGATTAAGCGACCCAAAAAACCTATAATACCACCATCAAATCACGGCGAGCTAGAATTTCCCACGGGACTCCTTATGTTGCGAGTAGACTAAATCAGAAACAAAAAAATATGCATTTTTGATGGTTAAGTTATTTTGTTACACATTTAATGCCTGGTTGAACCGACAAATCTTAATCTCCAGCTTAGCCAAGCTCAGCTTTTAGATAGGGCCGTTTTTTGTTTCGCTTACGTTGCACCATCATTTTCGAGTATAAAGCTTATGTTTCGTAAGCTGAGCTTAAGGCACGTTTTAAGCTTAAGATGTGTTGGTGCAACCAGGCATAATAAATGCCTTAATAACCCTCGATCTAAAAATTATTTAGTTTACTGTAGGATTTTTTTTGCAGATACCATGCGAAAAAAAATTCCAAATAGTTCAGCATTGCAAAACTGCTTTACACACCGGCAAAAAACAGAAATTAGAATCGGGAGAGAAAAAGCAAGATTCGATATCTAGATGCTTACAATCAACTAATCGGAAATCAAATGAGCAAGAGATATTTAACCATGATTTGTGTGAAGCATTGTTAAGCTCAAATATACCTTTGTCCAAATTATCGAACGAAAATTTGCGCATGTTTCTTGGAAAATACTGCAAATGGAATATTCCGAGTGAAAGAAGCTTAAGAAGAAACGAGGTCGATTCTGTTTATTCTGCTGTACTGAGTAAAATAAAATTAGATATAGGAGACAATTATTTTTATGTATGTGTGGATGAAACAATTGATTCTTCTGGACGTTATATCGCACATTTATTAATTGGATCTTTTAAAAATGAACAAGCTTGTAAATCGCATTTAATTGCTTCCAAGCAGTTGGATAAAACCAACGCACTAACAGTTACAAGGTTTTTGCAAGATAGTTTAACAAATTTTTTTCTTCCTTTAGCTGTTCCCAATGAAAAATTTTTGCTGTTTCTTTCAGATGCTGCACCTTACATGGTTAAAGTAGGAAACAATTTGAAAATTTTTTATCCGCGTTTAGTACATACAACTTGCCTAGCACATGGTTTAAATAGGGTCGCAGAAGAAATTAGAAATAAATTTCCTCTTGTTAATAATTTAATTTCAAATATGAAAAAAATATTTCTTAAGTCACCTATAAGAACTCAGTTGTATAAAGAACATTTGCCCAATCTTCCTCTTCCACCAAAACCTATTGTTACTAGATGGGGAACTTGGTTAGAGGCTGCAATGTTTTATGCAGAACATTTTTCTGAATTGAAGCCAGTAATAATGGAATTAGCTGACGATTCTTCCGAAGCACTTACAGTTTCCAAAGAATTACTGAAAAATAAATTACTACCACAGCAACTTTCATACATAAAATCAAACTATGATTTTGTGCCAAGTTGCATCCTTCAGCTACAGGATACGAATTTATCGTTAATTGAAGCAGTTAAAGTAATAAAAAAATTTGAACTATCTTGCAAAATTGTTGAGGGTCAAATTGGCAAAGACATTTTAGCAAAATTTAAGTCAGTCATAGATAAAAATACTGGTTTCATATTTCTATCTAAGGTTGCAAATGTTTTAAGTGGGGTGTTTGATGAAACATTAAATATAGAGGCTGAAGTTTTAAATAATTTTAAATACGCTCCTATAACTTCGGTGGATGTAGAACGGAGCTTTTCTATATACAAACATATAGTATACAGATAGGCGACAAAACTTTTTGTTAGAAAATTTTGAAAAACATATTATCACATATTGTTTTTTAAATAAATAGTCATGTATAATATATATTTATCTAATTAAAATAGTTGCTTAAAAGGTTTGTTTTATTTTATAATATCAAGCACTCAACTAATATTTTATAAAGTTATTATATTTAAACGGTTTATGAAGTGCACATTTTGTTTAAATAATGCATATACATGCATATTCGACACAAAAAATATATGCATATACATGCATATTTGACATAAATAAATGCATATACATGCATATT